AAACCAGGACTAAACCAGGACTAAACCAGGTCTAAACCAGGTCTAAACCAGAACTAAACCAGAACTAAAACAGGACTAAACCAGGTCTAAACCAGAACTAAACCAGGACTAAACCAGGACTAAACCAGAACTAAACCAGGTCTAAACCAGGACTAAACCAGGACTAAACCAGGTCTAAACCAGAACTAAACCAGAACTAAAACAGGACTAAACCAGGTCTAAACCAGAACTAAAACAGGACTAAACCAGGTCTAAACCAGAACTAAACCAGGACTAAACCAGGACTAAACCAGAACTAAACCAGGACTAAACCAGGTCTAAACCAGGACTAAACCAGGTCTAAAACCAGGACTAAACCAGAACTAAACCAGGACTAAACCAGGACTAAACCAGGTCTAAACCAGGACTAAACCAGAACTAAACCAGGACTAAACCAGGACTAAACCAGGACTAAACCAGAACTAAACCAGGACTAAACCAGGACTAAACCAGGTCTAAACCAGGTCTAAACCAGAACTAAACCAGAACTAAAACAGGACTAAACCAGGACTAAACCAGAACTAAACCAGGACTAAACCAGGACTAAACCAGGTCTAAACCAGTACTAAACCAGGTCTAAACCAGGACTAAACCAGGACTAAACCAGGAACTAAACCAGGACTAAACCAGGACTAAACCAGGTCTAAACCAGAACTAAACCAGAACTAAAACAGGACTAAACCAGGTCTAAACCAGGACTAAACCAGGACTAAACCAGGACTAAACCAGGTCTAAACCAGGTCTAAACCAGGGCTAAACCAGGACTAAACCAGGTCTAAACCAGAACTAAACCAGGTCTAAACCAGGTCTAAACCAGAACTAAACCAGGTCTAAACCAGGACTAAACCAGGACTAAATCAGGACTAAACCAAGACTAAACCAGGACTAAACCAGGACTAAACCAGGACTAAACCAGAACTAAACCAGGACTGAACTAAACCAAGACTAAACCAGGTCTAAACCAGGACTAAACCAGGACTAAACCAGGACTAAACCAAGACTAAACCAGGTCTAAACCAGGACTAAACCAAGACTAAACCAGGACTAAACCAGGACTAAACCAGGACTAAACCAGGTCTAAACCAAGACTTAACCAGGTCTAAACCAAGACTAAACCAGGACTACACCAAGACTAAACCAGGACTAAACCAAGACTAAACCAGGACTACACCAAGACTAAACCAGGACTAAACCAAGACTAAACCAGGACTAAACCAAGACTAAACCAGGTCTAAACCAGGACTAAATCTGCCTCGTAAAAGTCACTTTGATCTTTTGGTTTTCGTCTTAATTTCAGTCAGGAGCGTGCACGTGCCTCTGTGCGCGTGCACGAGAGCCCAGGAGCGTGCACGAGAGCCCAGGAGCGTGCACGACGCTGGTATGAGCGTGCATGTGAGTGTGCACGTGTGTTGTAATCAGCAGCGTCTGACCAACATCACTGTGTCAATAAAACTGAACCAGGACTAAACCAGGACTAAACCAGGTCTAAACCAGGTCTAAAGCAGGACTAAACCAGGACTAAAGCAGGACTAAAGCAGGACTAAACCAGGACTAAACCAGGTCTAAACCAGGTCTAAAGCAGGACTAAACCAGGACTAAAGCAGGACTAAAGCAGGACTAAACCAGGACTAAACCAGGTCTAAACCAGGTCTAAAGCAGGACTAAACCAGGACTAAAGCAGGACTAAAGCAGGACTAAACAGGACAGGACTAAAGGACTAAACCAGGTCTAAACCAGGTCTAAAGCAGGACTAAACCAGGACTAAAGCAGGACTAAAGCAGGACTAAACCAGGACTAAACCAGGTCTAAACCAGGACTAAAGCAGGACTAAACCAGGACTAAACCAGGACTAAACCAGGACTACAGCAGGACTAAAGCAGGACTAAACCAGGACTAAAGCAGGACTAAACCAGGACTAAACCAGGACTAAACCAGGACTACAGCAGGACTAAAGCAGGACTACAGCAGGTCTAAAGCAGGACTAAAGCAGGACTAAACCAGGACTAAACCAGGACTAAAGCAGGACTAAACCAGGACTAAAGCAGGACTAAACCAGGACTAAAGCAGGACTAAACCAGGTCTAAAGCAGGACTAAACCAGGACTACAGCAGGACTAAAGCAGGACTACAGCAGGTCTAAACCAGGACTCTCTTCAGTCTGCAGGTTTTATGTTCAGAGGCAAGAATCTGAAAAATGTGACTCCCTCCCTCCTTTCCTTTTCTCTCCATCTGTCTCTCCTCATTCTCTTTTCATTCTCTCGTCATCCCTCTCTTCTCCTCATCTCCTCTCTCCTCGTCTCCTCGCTCCTCGTCTCCTTCCCTCCTCGTCTCCTCGCCTCCTCGCCTCCTCGTCTCCTCGCCTCCTCGCCTCCTCGCCTCCTCGTCTCCTCGCCTCCTCGCCTCCTCGCCTCCTCGTCTCCTCGCCTCCTGGCTTGTGGCTCGCGGCTGGATTCCTTCATCATGTGAGTGGAGCTGTGGATCATGAGGCTGTAATTGGAGCAGGACTCTCAGACCTTCAGCTCTTCATTAAAGATTAGAAAAGTCAGAATCCAACCCCCAACCTGTAGAGGAATCAAACCCCCAACCTGTAGAGGAATCAAACCCCCAACCCCCAACCTGTAGAGGAATCAAACCCCCAACCTGTAGAGGAATCAAACCCCCAACCTGTAGAGGAATCAAACCTCCAACCTGTAGAGCAGGGGTGGGCAAACTTTTTGACTCGTTGGCCACAAAGGGCTCTAAAATTTGATGTAAGGGCCAAACCTGGAGCAGATGGATGGAGTTTTTTGGTAAACCATCTCAGAAGAGAAAAAAAAATATCCCATGTTATTGAAATATCCCATATTTAAACATCATTACAAAGCATTATAACAAAATATCCCACAATATTTACTATTTATTGAAATGACTTTTAAAACACTGAAAATTATTATTATTATTCAAGTTCAGGGGGCCGGATTAAAAAGATGAAAGGGCCGCATATGGCCCCCGGGCCTTAGTTTGCCCACCCCTGCTGTAGAGGAATCAAACCCCCAACCTCCAACCTGTAGAGGAATCAAACCCCAACCTGCAGAGGAATCAAACCCCCAACCTGTAGAGGAATCAAACCCCCAACCTGTAGAGGAATCAAACCCCCAACCTGCAGAGGAATCAAACCCCCAACCTGTAGAGGAATCAAACCCCCAACCTGTAGAGGAATCAAACCCCCAACCTGCTCCTCCTCTGCTCCTCTGAGACTCACTGAGCTGTGGATCTGAAGTTCTTGGGCCAAATGGAACAGTCCAATCACAGGAGTGATTCCATGTGATTATGTGATCATGTGATTATGTGGTCGTGTGATCATGTGATTATGTGATCATGTGATCATGTGATCATGTGATTATGTGGTCGTGTGGTCGTGTGATGTATGTGGTCGTGTGATCATGTGATCATATGTGATCATGTGATCATGTGATCATGTGATGTGGTCGTGTGATCATGTGATCATGTGGTCATGTGGTCGTGTGGTCGTGTGATCATGTGATCATGTGATCATGTGATCGTGTGATCATGTGATCATGTGATTATGTGATCGTGTGATTGTGTGGTCGTGTGGTCGTGTGATCATGTGATCGTGTGATCATGTGATCATGTGATAATGTGATCGTGTGATCGTGTGTGTGATCATGTGATCATGTGATCATGTGATTATGTGGTCGTGTGATCGTGTGGTCGTGTGATCATGTGATCATGTGATCATGTGATAATGTGATCGTGTGATCGTGTGATCATGTGATCATGTGATTATGTGGTCGTGTGATCGTGTGGTCGTGTGATCATGTGATCATGTGATCATGTGATCATGTGATCGTGTGATCGTGTGGTCGTGTGATCATGTGATCATGTGATTATGTGGTCGTGTGTGGTCATGTGATCATGTGATCATGTGATCATGTGATCATGTGGTCATGTGATCATGTGATCATGTGATCATGTGATCATGTGGTCGTGTGATCGTGTGATCGTGTGGTCGTGTGATCATGTGATCATGTGATTATGTGGTCGTGTGGTCATGTGATCATGTGATCATGTGGTCATGTGATGTGTCATGTGATCATGTGATCATGTGATCATGTGATCATGTGATCATGTGATTATGTGGTCGTGTGGTCATGTGATCATGTGATCATGTGATCATGTGATCATGTGTGTGATCATGTGATCATGTGTGATCGTGTGATCGTGTGATCGTGTGATCGTGTGATCGTGTGATCGTGTGATCGTGTGATCGTGTGATCGTGTGATCGTGTGATCGTGTGATCATGTGATCATGTGATCATGTGATCATGTGATCATGTGGTCGTGTGTGTCATGTGATCATGTGATCATGTGATTATGTGGTCGTGTGATCGTGTGGTCATGTGGTCATGTGATCATGTGATCGTGTGATCGTGTGGTCGTGTGATCATGTGATCATGTGATTATGTGGTCGTGTGATTGTGTGATCATGTGATCATGTGATCATGTGATCATGTGATCATGTGATCATGTGGTCATGTGATCATGTGATCATGTGGTGAGTAACATCAGGTCTGTTTCAGTTTGGTCAGGTTCTCGGTTGGATCATGTGACCCGCTTCATACAGACGATGTCTCTTTTTGATGTCACAGAAAATGACACATGAACATAAGAATAATAATATTATTATATTATTATTATGGAATATTATCATCAAAAGAACAACATTTCCATGGAAACAAGCAGGAGGAGCGCCTCCTCCAGGCCAAATAAGAGTCAGGTTTGTGAAGAGGCGAGCTCAATCAACACAAACAAAATGAAAAGACTTTTTTTTATTTTAGTCTATTTCTTTGACAAAAAGTTACAGACGGTGACTTTAATTTGAAATTAACCAATGAACAAGACTCAAAGCAGATTGGAACTTTCAAATTATTAAATAAACATTTTTGAGAGTAACGTGGGGAGGTGGGTCTGGGGGCGGGGTCATCGCCGCACAGGAAGACGGGTCTGTCTTGGGGCCACGCCGCTGGAGCAGGAGATGAAATAGTCGCTAGTCTCCAGACACTCGGCGGTGATCTTCAGACAGACAAAGCAGAACTCCACTTCGCACTCTGGACACACGATGTTCTTGCACTTCTCTCCGCTGTGTTCTACCAGAAGCCCGCAGGTGGGACAGGCACGCACCGACGGGCAGCCCACCACCCCCTGCACCTCGGAGAAGCTGATGTTTGGGCAGGTCCTCAGAGTGACCAGAGCCTGGTTTACACAGCCCGTGTTCTCACAGTGGTCAGAGCGAGGAGCTGCTCCTCTCCACTCCCTCAGACACTGCCAGCAGAAGCTGATGTTCTGCTTCTTATCACAGGAACACTGAGGACACTCCACACACAGGTTGGTCAGATCTGTCCTGACCACGTGGGACCTGCAGCCAGGACACTGGAGAACAAGAGCACTGTGGTCATTTACCTACAACTATCACAGCAATGCCAAAGCTGCACTGTGGAACTTTTCCAGTGCTCCAGTATATGGCATTAAACGTCTGTCTCCATGGAGACCACCAGGCCAAGTTACAGAGCAGATCTACAGAGAGGTGAGGCTTTTACAAACCAGCATGTTCCTCAAACCTTCTGAGCAATAAAACCCTAGCAGTGAAATACATACATTTAATGCCACACTGTGGAACATGGGCAAAGTAACAGGCAGGTAACACACCCTCCTCTGGATCTATGAACTCACCAGTTTGGCGTTGAGCTCTTTGACCGCCACATTTGTAAACATCTGATGTTCAAAAGCGCTGCTCTCGTTCTCCGTGAGCAGAGCCATCTTACGTACTTCTTCATAAGGCCACTCCGCGGGACAGTTCCCACAAGTGAAACGGAACTTTCCCTAAACATCAGCAAAAAGGTTTTACACAAGTTCGGTCAAATGAACATCAAACTCCAGTGAACAACGAACACTTCTTCTGGCTTTCTGAGAAAGTGATACTTCAAAATATATTGTAGTGCAGACAGACAGGTCATGAAGGTCTGCTGCTGTGAGCCGCTGTGAGCCGCCGTGAGCCGCCGTGAGCCACCGTGAGCCACCGTGAGCCACCGTGAGCCACCGTGAGCCACCGTGAGCTGTTGTGAGCCGCAAACACTGTGTCTGAGATCACAAAGATCGATTCATTGATAATTAACACAGAAATATAAATGGGTCTTTCCACGCCATTTCATCAAATTTCCAGAAAATCTCACGCATCACGTTTTTTAAAAATGTTGAAAAAATGACCAGCTGCTCCTTCACGATCATGTACAAACTCTGTGAAGTTTGAGTCATTTTTGATCTTTACTTTTTAAATTACAGCTCGTTTAGTGAGGGGAGGATGTGTCCGTTTTTGGGCCCAAAATCACGTTACTTTTTTTCTTGGTCGTTTTCACAGGTCGATGTCTCCGTAAGTATCACACATAGAGGCTGAAATTTTGTAGGTTTGTTCTCCTCGACTCTGTGTTCAAATAACAACTATCGAAAGTTTGTATCTCAACTCACTGTCATTTTATATTAACTTAAATCTGAAAAAAAAAAACGTGTTAATTTCCGTGGCGTAACATTTTTAGTCCCTTTTAAACCTATTTGTAGGTGTCGGAGATCCTTAATTTTTTTTGAGAATCAAGATTTGTACTGGACTGTTAAAAAAAAACTTCACCAAATATTGAACATTTGAAATAGATTATGTGTGAGGCTCTTGTTAAAAACAAGAAAACACAACATGGTCTGATTTTCACATGTCATTTATGGCATGTGGGTAGTGATGAACATTTTTTGAATAATTTTTGTTTGAAAGACCAGAAAAAGACCTTTCATATGAAACCAAACATCTGTATTTTATGAAGCTCCTTCAATATTTAATTGTATCTTGAACATTCACATTTGACACAATGACACAAGTAAACAGTGACCGTGTACCATGTTTTATTCCAGCAGCTGAAGCTCCCAAACATGAAGAATGTACAAGAATGAATCAACAGGATGTGTTAGAAGATATGTAAAAACCCAGAACACAGAACATGTGTCTTATTCGTCATCAGTATCAGTAGTGAAGGCTGCACCACGTGGTTTTTGAAGATACCTAACAGTAAGCACATCTTCATAAACCAGTCGGTCTCAAAGCTTTTGGATTTTCTGGCCGAGGTCACGGCAGCATGGACAGTCCCCACAAGTCTGACCACCAGATTTCTCCTCAACCTGTGGAGGCTTTTTCCTCCTGGTGGACTGGTTTTAGATGGTTCAGTTGACCATGTTGACTGGGGTGTGGCCTTGTACCTTCAATCAGGCTTCGTCACCTGTGCACTTCATTAATTTGTTGGGAGTCGGCTCTTGGTCCCACGTGGTCCAAACATGTACCGGCTGTCTTAAAATATATATAAAACTATAAACTTCAAAACAAATGTGCATGTGGAACTACATAGGTCCACCCCAGAATAAAGATGAAGATGATTTTTTATATGTGATAAATTCCCACAAATCCTCTGATATTTCCCTTAAATGGACAAACCGTAACACTTTCCATTTAAGGCTCCATAAGACTTTCTTTACCTGCTCAGGTGATCCCAACGTGATAGGGAACAGTTTCCTCACTTCTTGGCTGCTTCCAGATGTTTGAGTTCCTTGCACATCTAAATCTATTGTAACATTTGCATAGTCTTGAACATCAATGTGCCGTCCACAACAAGAAGACAATATCATATTGTTGAACATGACTTGATTATTGTCATTGGGCGGCAGTAGTTCAGTTGGTAGAGCATTCGCCCACTGATCTGAAGGTTGGTGGTTCGAATCCAGCTCTCAACATGAACATCACAGGTTGAGTGGTCAGATCCACTGACCCACAGGTTGGCTGGTGTGATTCCAGCTCCCACAGATGAATGCTGCCGTTGTGTCCTTGGGCAAGACACTTAACCCACCTTGCCCACAGTGTCTGCGTACACTGGTGTATGAATGTGTGTGTGAATGGGTGAGTGGTTCCTTGTTGTAAAAGCGCTTTGAGTGCCTTGAAGGTGGAAAAGCGCTATAGAAAAATGTGACCATTTACCATTAAAAAATGTTTAATGTGAGAATAATCTACAGCTGTTTTCTTGGATGTCAGAAAACTTGTCATATCAAAATTATTATCAAACCATTTGATTCAGTCTTTAAATGTTTAGTAACTTTAGCTGCTGGAATAAAACATGGTACACGGTCACTGTTTACTTGTGTCATTGTGTCAAATGTGAATGTTCAAGATACAATAAAAAAAATGGAAGGGGCTTCATCAAATACATATGTGTGGTTTCATATGAAAGGTCTTTTTCTGGTCTTTCAAATAAAATTTATTCCAGATTTTTTCATCACTACCCACATGCCATAAATTACATGTGAACATCAGACCATGTTGCATTTTTTTGTTTTTATCAGGACCCTCACACATAACCTATTTCAAATTTTCAACATTTGGTGAATTCTTTTAAGAGTCCTAGTACAAATCTTGATTCTCAAAAAAGATTAAGGGTCTCCGACACGACAAGCAGGTTTAAAAGGGACTAAAAATGTTACGCCACAGAAATGAACAAGTTTTTTTTTCAGATTTAAGTTAATATAAAATGACAGTGAGTTGAGATACAAACTTTCAATAGTTGTTATTTGAACACAGAGTCGAGGAGAACAAACCTACTAAATTTCAGCCTCTATGTGTGATACTTACGGAGACATCGACCTGTGAAAACGACCAAGAAAAAATACCGCGATTTTGGGCCTGTAAACGGACACATCCTCCTCTCACTAAACGAGCTGTAACTTGAAAAGTAATGATCAAAAATGAGTAAAACCTCACAGGGTTGGTACATGATAGTAAGGGACTATTTGTTTGTTTTTTCAAAACTTTTTGAGATCGAAGTGCATGGGCCATTTGGTGAAATGGCGTGGAACGACCCAAATGTTTTTCTCGGTTGGTATCAACCCAGATCCTTGGGAATATTGTAGAAGTTCAGGTTTTTGCTGGCTCTAGTGATGATAGGCTTGGAGTTGACAGCTGCCACAGGGAAGCGACAAACACAAGCCACAAACAGGAAGAAGTGGACTGAGTGAGTGCGACGTCACCCACAGCGTTTGGTTCCAGCCAAATGAAGCTCAAACAACATTATAACGGCGTTAGCACCAAATGCTGCCTCGCATAACTGCACGTCCCTCCTCTAATGTTCCTCGTCACAAAGTTGGAGTTGTGTTTGGTTCATTCACATGTTTAAGTAACTCTTTATTATGAGTCTGTTCCACCTTGTGATGTCATCAAGTGATAGTTTCCAAGTTCTCAGCTCCTTTTCCCTTTAGTTCAGTCGAGATCGGCGACTCCACGACTGAAATGATCCAGGTGATTCTAGTGAAGGTGTGTGGAGTTTAAAAACGCAGTGGAGCACTTCCTGTATCACCACATGATGACATCACAGGGTGGAAGTGTTTTCTGTCTGAGAGAAGATGGGTTTGTGTGTTAAATGTGTGTGTTGACTCACCTCTTCCAGCTGCCTGATGCACCAGTCTGTGAGGGACTGAGGAGTGACCGAGTGACCACAGGACATCAGGGCTCGTGGGGAGGAGTAGCCCACACACACGACTGCAACACACAGGGTTAGGGTGAGACTGCACACGCTCCCTCGTACACTGCAGCACATGTACGACTTGTGACGATGTCTACGGCACTGGCTTTGTGTTTCTGTCTGAAAGTAAAATGATCTGCCAGTGGAACAAGACTTTTTGTTCTAAAAATATAAAAATACACTTGGCTCCAAAAATAAGAAAAACAACAACTCTGCACTTAAAATAAGAAACAAGCTCGAATGTTGCTTAATTAAGAAAAATGCACTTATTCCATTGGTAGATTATTTCACTTGTCAAGTTGAATCGACTCAAATGTTTCTAATTTAAGTTATTTTCTCTTACTTCGATGGTTTTTGCAGTATAGGCTCTTGTATCAGGCCTACAGTGAGAAGAACTAAAGTGCACTGCCACGTGTCAATTAAAAAGTACAAATCCATCAGTCTGCCCCACGGCAGCCGTGGCTACAACAGCATCTCCCGAGCTCTGAGTGTGGAGGGAATCAAGAATACTGAAAGCCTCTTTGGGTGTGGTGAAAGGCACCGTATAAATCAAAAGATAAATAAATAATTACATAAGAATTGTCTACTGTATTTTTCAGACTATAAATTGCACTTTTTTCATGGTTTGTTCCTGTGAATTATATATGAAAATATTTAATTTCACATGTTTGTTATTTTCACACTGATAGCCACAAGAGGGCGCTCTAGGCTTGTGTGCCAGTATCTCCTGCTCCTGTATCACTGTCACTGTACTGCAGAAGAGCCTCTGTCCCGACACAAATACTGAAATCTGCAGCCAAAAACTGAAATCGAGCAGCAGAAAGAAAGTTTGGAGTCAGCGAGAAACTTGTGAGCGACTGGAGAAAAGCAAAAGAAACTCAAACTACAACGAAGAAAACAAAAAAGCTCATCACGGGCTAAAAGATAGATTTAGCTCGAGTTGTCGGAGTTGTTCAGAAGTGACACGAGGATGAAGAATTGAAGTGATTTAGTGATTTGGAGTGAGATGGAGAGTTTGTTAAACTTGTTCTGTGTTTTATAGTTTATCTGAAAAACTGTCAAATATGTGACAGTGTGAACTGTTGTTCTCTCTTCTGTTGTTTTTACTACAACTTGACTTTACACAGGAAATGTGACTTAAATATGTTTTTTTCTTCTTCATTATGCATTTTTTGGCTGGTGTGACATATACCCTGGAATAACTTATAGTCTATAAAATACAGTAAAAGCTTTTTGGTGTGCAGAGGCAGAACAAGCCCTCAGTGAGTCTCAGGCCTGTTCCACAGACCAGTGCTGCCCCCTGCTGCTCTGAGATGTAAACAGTACTTCATCAGAACCATAACCTCCTTCTGTTCAGACTCACAGTCGTGCTCATCCTCTCGGTTCACAAAGGTCAAAGTGCGGTCAAGGGGGTTGTATCTCTTCTCTCTCACTGCAGCATTCAGAGAGGGCTTTGGGAGGAGCTTCGGGGGGGTCTGCTGCTTCGTCTTGGGTCCTGGCTTCTGTGAGGGTCCGGGGGGTTGGGGCAGAGGAGGCAGGAGGAACACTGGGTTTGTGTTCCTGTACTGTGAGGGTCCGGGGGGTTGGGGCAGAGGAGGCAGGTGAAACACTGGGTTTGTTTGGCTCTGTGCTGGTTGCACTTCTTGGACTTCTGCCTCCTTTTGTTCTTCCGTGCCTTTCTTTTGACATGTGAGTCTGCAGCCCATCCCACCGCTGCACCTGGTGCACCTGCGTCACCTGCGTCACCTGCGTCACCTGCGTCACCTGCACAAACACATGCTATTTAGGCTCAGCTACTTTACTTTCTGTTTCAGTCCTGAGCACAGACAGGAGCAGAGATGGTGATTCAGGTGAAAGTCAGCACACCCAGAGGACAGGACATCCTCATCGACGTGTGTCCGAGTGCAGATCGGCTCAAACATGTCACGGTCAAACAGCTGCGGGAAATGATCGCCCGCCGCCTTGCCATTGGTACGTCTGACCTCACAACTACGCCATCATCATGTCATCCTGAAAGGCTTCTATAGATTTAAGGCTTCCACGTTTATGTCCTTATAAAGCTTTCACATTTATAGACTTAAATATTTCACGTTTATAGACTTAAAGATTTCACATTTATAGTCTTAAATATTTCACATTTATAAACTTAAATATTTCACGTTTATGTCTTTAAAGATTTCACATTTATAGACTTAAATATTTCACATTTATAAACTTAAATATTTCATGTTTATAGACTTAAATATTTCACATTTATAAACTTAAATATTTCATTTTATAGACTTAAATATTTCACATTTATAGACTTAAATATTTCACATTTATAGACTTAAATATTTCACATTTATAGACTTAAATATTTCACATTTATAGTCTTAAATATTTCACGTTTATAGACTTAAAGATTTCACATTTATAGACTTAAATATTTCACATTTATAGACTTAAATATTTCACATTTATAGACTTAAATATTTCACATTTATAGTCTTAAATATTTCACATTTATAGACTTAAATATTTCACGTTTATAGTCTTTAAATATTTCACATTTATAGACTTAAATATTTCACATTTATAGTCTTAAATATTTCACGTTTATAGACTTAAATATTTCACGTTTATAGACTTAAAAGCTTTCTGGTGTTTGTGTAAAAGTGTATTTGTGCTCTGTTCAGGAGGAGACGTCCGCATGGTTTTCCAGGGAAAGCCTCTGGACGACTGCTACACCCTCAGACACTACAACATCGGCCACATGTCCAAGATCCAGACGTTGCTCACGCTGCCTGGAGGGGCCTGTACCTGCGGGGCCTGTACCTGCGGGGCCTGTACCTGCGGGGCCTGTACCTGCGGGGCCTGTACC